CGTGTTGCACAGAAAACTCCTCATAACACCCTTAATTACTTATCGTAGCTGGCACCTCCAACCCATCCGATCTGATCGTGAGATGACCACAGAAATCGATTGGGTTACATACATCAATCACTCCATGATAAGAAACTCGCGAAGGCTATTAACAAAGAACAGACATCAAAAAGCATGTGGCGCTAGGTAAGCTAAACACGGGCAACAATGGCTCCCCTTGCGTTGTTTTCTGGTCAAAAGTGTGTCTTCAAATGGCATTCAAACGATAAAAAACGCTGCTGAAGTTAAATTCACAATTGCGTCTGTGTCCCTTTTTAAAATTTCTTGTGACTTAGGGCTGTCACCGAATTACCAATTTTTTCGGTTGTCCGGATTATTCGGTAGTAATTTCAACAGCGAATATTCGGCGCCGCGCGAGTGGGGGGGGGGGGCGGGCGTGATGTAATCAGCACGCCAACCGGGCTTCAAACACGTTGTATTTCGGCTGTATTCCACAGCGGGCTTCATTTGTATTCTACAGTATTGTTGTCTTTTATAGTTATTTGTTTAATGTAACCCAATTTGTATCGGCAAAGGACTATTCGCATTCTTTGTGTGTTACTTTTCGTTTTGCAATTGTAGGCTATATGTCTTAAGTGTAATTTGGCTTGGCTTCCTATTTATGGACATTTTGAAGGAGAGTTAGCGCAGTTGACAGGAAGTTGTTGTTGCGTTGGAAACAACATGACTATAATATCTACATATAAAGATGGAGAAAGTAAACGATAATGTTTATGGTTAAGTGTTAGCACCCCCCAAAGAGGCACAAGCTCTTACGTTGATATTGGAGATTTCAATAAATTCAATTCGAAAAAAAAACGGGAAAAAAACAAACAAAACGAATATCCGAATAACGAAATTGAAACCCGAATAGTACTCCAACGAACGAATATTCGGATATTCGGGTACAGCCCTAATCCATAAGCAATAAACCTGCTTTTCCGTTTCCAGATGTCAGAGCGACAAATAGGTTCACTCTGATGCAAACCTGCATGCGCAAAGCCCCCACCTTTTTTTTTTACCATGTGTGTGTATGGGGAAATTCCCCTTCGATTCTATTGGCTCTAACGGTCAATTACCAAAATCTTAAAATAAAAAACATCTATATTGATTCTGACTTTTCTACATCCAACTCACAGGTTTATAATTACTTTGAAAAAAAAGATTATTAATTTAACCCTTTTAGAAGGGAAGATATGGTCATTTGTTCTAGGAATGTCATTTTCAACCCTGAGACCTGAAAAACAGGCTCAGGGCTTAACAGGTGTCTTTGGCTCTTTTTCTGCTGCAACAAATGTAAATTTCCCCTCTGTGGGACAGATAAAGGTATTCTGATTCTGATTTAAGGTGGTCGAGATTGTTTCGTTTGTCTGAAGATTAGTGACGTAACAAATGCCAAGAAATACCCAAGAGTGCAATTTTCAGTATTTGTCACTCCCTTTTCGTCTGAAATAGGTCACAAACAATAACGAGTCATGATGCTTATTCATGAAAAAAAATGCCATGTGGCAATATATGTAAAAGCTATATAATCTCCCCTCTTTCCACAATCATTCACATAACTCCTTAATCCTTTGTGAGAAATGCGGTTTTGATGTGTGAGACGTCTCAAAAGAATACTAACAATGAAGATAACTTGTACAGCTTTTGTACTCCTCATCCAAGCATTACGAAGTTTGGCTTTAGATGGTAAGGTATTCCAACTTTAAATGTTATGCTTTTTGTGTGTTTCTTCAGAGCAGGTATGTCATTAACAATGCTCAATATAACTACTGTATGTGGGACTGTTTTATCCTTTACCATATGTTTTTGTTAAAATTCAATATTGAGGTAATTGTGATTTAAAGTGAGATTTTTGTTTTTGATTGTTCTTTTGAAAAATGATCAGTATTATTGTCAGTGCAACATCAACTTATATTAAACCTAATGAAAGACTGAGGAAATAGCATTTGCTGATTAATTATACATTTTATCATTGCTCTGACATTGATTCTTAAAAACATATTTTTCTACAGATTCACCATTTCAACTGACCAACAAAGACACTGGTTTTTGTTTGGTTAAATATAACACATACTACTGCAATAATGTACGCTGGACAAATGGTGACAGACTTCAGGTTCAATGGTCATATAAGTGCCTTGGAGCCCAGGGGAAAAGTGTGGGAAGTGAAATAAGCCTCTACGTTTGTGATGAAACCAGCGACCTCCAAAAGTGGGAATGCACGAACGGGACATTGCTCGCCCTCAAAGGACAAGAGCTTTACATTGAGCTCACTGCAGACAACACAGCAGTTCTCTCTAAAACAGTCGGACCAAACAACCACCTTACACTTTCAGGGACGTCCAGTGGTGCTTGTTCAAGAACATACAGAGGTACAGTATAAAATCATTATAAAATGCTTGTCCACGCTAATTTCTCACTAAGAATTACTGTTTCAATTATTTGTTAATCTTTAGAGGGATAATAACGTAGAACTAAAAATATAAAAACAGATATATGCAATGGATCCTAGTATTTTGCAACATAAATGGTAAAGCAATGCATCATATCTTCGTAAATTAGAAATACTCAAGATTTTCTTTGATTTGTTTGTTTATCCGTTCAGAATTTTTCACCATTGGTGGAAATGCAAATGGTAGGCCCTGCATGTTCCCCTTCCAGTACAAAGACAAGTGGTACACTCAATGCACTACGGATGATAACCCAGACAACCGACTTTGGTGTGCGGTTCAAACTAAATATGATGATCAACTCTGGGGGTATTGCCCAACTAACTGTAAGTAATGCCTGTTTTATGTTACTATAATGAGAGAATGGTTGCAATAAACTGTTTTTTTAATGCAAAGGTGGCTAATGTTGAAGGTGGCTTGTTGTCAACATGTTGACTGGGCAAGATACTATCCCAAATTGCTCCGAACGGCATGGCCAACGATGTGTGAATGTTAGTTTCCCTAAGCAGATGCACATTGTATGGCAGCCTCTGAGTGTGATTGCAGACTTGTATTTGTCAAAGAGCTTTGAGGGGTCTTAAAGACTGGAAAAGTGCAGTTTAAATGCAGTCCATTTTACATTTTGAAAAGCATTTGCCTATTCTGTTTGTGTATGCAGCCAAAGAGCACTGGAATAAACACATTACTACAGGAGCATATTACCAGCTCAACACACAGTCAGCTTTGACTTGGGCCCAGGCTGAAGCCAGCTGCAAGCAGCAGGCGTCTTCCCTGCTGAGCATCACTGATCCCCACCAACAGGCCTACCTCACAGGTAAGCTGACACTAACTTTAATATTTAACAATATCTACTTGATATAAAAAAAGTTTACATTAGTTTAACATCGAACACTAACTTAAACGTTGCTTGTTATACATGCCTTAGTACATTTCGTTCATAATTACATTTAATATGAACCATGTTTACACATAAGCTGTACAATTATGCATATATAAACACAAAAAGTGAAATAAAGTGAAAAAATATTATACAAAGTATTTTAAAACTATTATCAAATACAAATGTTTACAAGCAATACAAATATACAAAAAAGAAATACAGTGAACATTTGACATATAAGTGTTAAAATATGTATATATAACTTTAGCGTATACAATAGGAGCTGTGCAGTTTTAAAAGTGGTTATATAATGCAGATGTGCAAAGAAATTAATTGGAGTTGTGGCTAGTTGGGACAATAGTCAGACTTGTGATTAATGTTTGAGCCGTACCCATTTTTTTAAGTATCATCTTTTCTTCCTGTGCTTTCCACATTTGCATAATCAAAAACACGATAACTCACAGCACTGCTAGGGCTCGAGGGCGGGGGACAGGGGGACAAGCTTTGGACCGGGCTGATCAAGAACCCAGAGCAAGGCTGGCACTGGTCTAACGGGAGGGCTTTCCGTTATCTGAACTGGGACTCTGGTAAGTTTTCTTTTCCACCTCAATACTTTGTGGTGCTAATCGTATGATGCTAAGATTTCTGCATCTCGTATACAGTATACTGCAGTTTTGTACTTTATACACAACAGATTGCCAGTCAGTTGTAAAACTGCTATAATTTTTGCTTGGATAAATATTTAAACTGAGTATTTTAATCTCTTGAGCAGTTTAGATGAAAGACTTATGATAACAGTACATTTATTTATTAAAGAGGCGCTTTCCTTGCTGTTTGCATTTGATTCTGTTCATCTAAGTGTGCACAATATTTTTCATATTTATAAAGTCACACATACATATTCATTTCCAGTGCATTTTAGATCTAAGCTTAGTGTCACACTCCTAGGCTTATGTCACGTTTGTAATTTTGTATGTTTGGGTTTTGCTGTCATGTTTTCCTCCTGGGTTATTGTCTGGTCCTTTTCCCTGTGTTTTTCCTCCCGTCGTTAGTTTCCCTGGTGTGTCTAGTTGTTTGATTGTGTTCACCTGTGACCCTTGTGTTTCTCCTCCCCTGCCCGGCTGTTTCTCGTCTTGTGATTACCCCTCCCTGTATTTAGCCTTACTCCTCCTGTGTTCAGTGTTGGTGCTTCTTTTGTTTGTGACCTAGTTCACCGTAGAGTGTTTTGTTTGTCCAAGTCATGTATTAGATAAGAGCCCTTGCAATAAAGGTATTATCAAGTGTTATCTGCGTTCGGGTCCTACCTGCTTCACTCTGCGTAACACTTAGTACCATAAACAATAAAAATAGGTCTGCTGTGTCTCCGAAATGCCCGTTCCACTTTATCATGATTAATGTCACTGCTGTTAAAAAATAATCAGTACAATGATTTTTTTTAAGCCTGTGATTTATAATGTCATTTTATAGAATTCTTCTTAAAAATAAAGCTTGTTTGATCCAAGACACATGTGAGAACTGACATGTCGAGGTAACCATCCTCTTGTTTTAGGACATCCACTTCCTAATCCTGGACACGACTGTGGAATTGTTGATCCTGCTGTGCAGTACTTGTGGCAAAGTTCAACATGCACAAAGAAACTAGGGTACATCTGCTACAGTGAAAGAGCTGTGACTCCTCCTACTACAGGTAAACAAAACAAACAAATACCTTTCAACCGTTTTGTGTGTTAATATAATGTCTTTGGTTAAATGTATATCATTGACTCAGTCCGTATATTTCTTGATCTGCTGCAGGGACGGGATTTTGTTCAAGACCTTGGATTCCCTACAATGGCCACTGTTTCCACCTTAACCGAGCTCAGAAAAAATGGTCTGATGCTCAGCAAGTGTGCCGCAAAGAAGGAGGCGACTTAGTGAGCATCCGCAATGTGGAGGACCAAAGCTTTGTCATCTCTCAACTCGGCTATGGTGAGGAAAATAAATAATTAGTGAGCTTCAAAAATAAGAGTTTGCAAAGAACAATACACCTGAGAGATCAAAACCTTTCACTGGCACAACACTTAACATTACCTTCCCACCTAATGATATTGATTCAAGTAAGATCATTTGTTTCCCAACATATAGCTTTGTGTTCTGGTTTGTGATGAGCATCACAGTCTCAGCCATCTAGAGAATTACAACTTGCCAAAATTGCACACAGATTTCTGGGCCATTAAGTATCTCTTAATAACAATGAGGAGTTGCACACATACTAAGTAGAGCAGAGCTCCACAATAATGATATTTCATAGGCAGTTGAGTGAAAGGTGTCTTTTTTCTCTCCATGTTTGCAGCATCCACTGATGAGCTTTGGATTGGACTGAATGATAAAAAGACAGAGAGGCTGTTTGACTGGATTGACCACTCTGCTGTCACCTTCACCAGCTGGGAGCTTGGTAAACCTGCCGTCTTTTCTGACGCAGAGGACTGTGTTCTCATCAGGGGAGAGGTACAGTAAGGAGCTCCATGTGGATATGTTACACTTGCTACCCTCTTGAAAAAGTATCATTATTTGTTTTGGTGATGAAGTCATTAAACTAACCTGATTTTAAAACAATCCAGCAAATTGTGCAAACTTTACAACCAGCAGCCTATTATTGACAGTAATGTGTAACGCAGCCTGTACATTAGCACCTGGAATCTATAATAGCATATCGAACACAACTGCTGATCTTACAAGGACCATTCTGTTGAAAAGGTTCCAATAAATGACTTCACTGCAGTGCAAAAAAAAAAAGGTTTGTGTGCCTTTATCTTTCAGAATGGAAACTGGGCTGACCGTGTGTGTGATGAGAAACATGGCTTCATTTGTATGAAGATGAGTGCCTCTCAACCCTCTGGAGATGAAGTGGAGCAGGATGTAGGCTGCAAAACTGTAAGTGACCCTTTGTTTTTCTTCTTATATAAAACATTTTTGTATATGGGTGGGTAAAAAGGTTAAACACTGAATGTTATCATATAACGCCCGGTATTGTACCTCAAAACTGTCTGATTATCAATTTGTTTCCACAAGACGGAACTTCAACATTCAAGTAAAGAAAGTTCAATTAGATCCTTGGTTTTGTTTCTTGAGAAAGGACAATATTCATTTGAAAGTAAATAACATGATGATACTTATTGGTAGGCCCAAGCACTGCTTCACATACTGTAGCTTGGAAGGCCATGTTAAAATGTACACAATTTCAGCCACCCGTAGATCAAGAACATAGGCTACAATATACTGATGGTGCAAGCAAGCGTGCTGAACTCCTCTGTTCATATCCGAATCATTTGAGTAAATAGGACAGTTACTTTTTGTTCCAAGAGAGAAAACATATTGGAAAGTGAAAGCCAGGAATCAAAGTTTGAAATACTCAATGAATAAGCAACCATGTCAAATCCCTGAAGACATACTGTATTGTGGTCATGTTTTTTTTGCTTTGTGTTCTCTGGAAATGTATTTAAGACAACACATCTTCCCAATTATTTTCCCCTACGTCCCAGGGTTGGAAAAGACACGGCTCCTACTGCTACTTTGTAGGAACAGAGACAAAGACATTTGATGAAGCCAAAAATGACTGCAAGACATCAGATTCCTACTTAGCTGATGTTTCAAATGGGTAAAAATACTCAAACAACAATCTTTGTTTCTGTACATCATCATGAGAATTCCTGCGACCCTAAATGTGTAAATGTTTCCAGAGTGGATAATGCCTTCCTCGTCAGCTTGGTTGGGTTGAGACCAGAGAAATACTTCTGGCTGGGCCTCTCAAACCAGAATGACATTGATCAATTTGTGTGGACCAACGCCAACTCAGTGAGGTTTACTCACTGGAATGCTGAAATGCCAGGTATGGTGACATTTTTAAATCCATCTGTAAGATGAAAATGGATTCACAACTGACATTTGACCATTTCTTCCTCAACAATTCAAGGTCACCAACAGGGGTGTGTTGCAATGACTACAGGGGTTTTTGCTGGCCTCTGGGATGTGATGCCCTGCACCAATAAGGAGAAATACATCTGTAAACATCTGGCAGAGGGGGCTGTTTTAACCCCTGCACCACCCACTCAAGCCCCTCTCAAGTGTGCCGACGGCTGGACTCCAATCGGAGCCAGAAACTTTTGCTATAAGGTAGAATCCAACACAACTTAAAATAAGTGAAACAAGTGCACCTGCATTGCATTGCACCTGATTCACAAAGGAATGCATGATATTTTAAAACGTAATGACTTTTTCTCTTATTTACAAGTTGGCAAATTTTTCAAATTAGGACTGTCAACGTTGTTAACATGCGATTAATCTTGAATCCCTTAACATGTGATTAACGGAAATTACTCACAATACCAAATGTGGCCCTTACTTCCTCCAGTATTTCCAGTGCTAATGTTGACAATAAATTGCATTGCAGTGAAAAGCAAAAAAAAAGCAGAGAAATTGACAAAAACTACAAGACCACTAGACATCAGTTGACAGTTGAACTTCCTGCCTTGTTTGAAGTTGTTTCCAGAGCCATCAGAAAGCAAAAGGACCTGGTATGACGCAAGAGATTATTGCAGGACTATCGGAGGAGACCTGCTCAGCATCCACAGCGGTCTTGAGCTAACCTTTGTGAAAAGGTACAGTATGACCTGGTCTCATTCAATCATAGCTGTAATAGATACAATTTCCAGTCTCAATCACACACTACTTGCGTCAAAGATTACTGTAATTCTTTTTAAATGCTTTAAATTCTTCCCTGTTTGTCATGGTTAAAATCAGGTGGTAAACATTATCATTGACAGAAAATCTAGCTCTGTAGCCTATGGTAAATGAAAATCAAATAACATGAAAAGTACAAAACTGGATTCAAAGTGATACAAATAGTGTTTAGGAGAGCATTTGGTTGGCATCATAAGATAACAAAAGAAGTGTGTTGCTAAAACATTCAACAGGTTGCATATTTAAATCATTAATATGAGTCCGTCCATTATACAGAGCCTCTGGAACAGTCTGGATTGGACTTAGTGCTCCAGACCCAGTCACGGGCTACGTATGGAGCGATGGGTCTCCAGTGAGTTAAACGTCTTCTTCTTCTACAATGGCTGAGTGTATCATATTTAGTTGATTAAACTAAATTAAATTAAAAATAAATCCTTTTGTCATTGTCAATTGTTTATTTCTGTTTTCAGGTGAACTTCCTACACTGGCACGATGGAGAGCCAAACAATAAAAACAATGTGGAATCGTGTGCTGAATTCAGAACATATCTTAGGTCTGGGTCTTGGAGTGATGTGAACTGTGCGAAGAATAATCAATGGCTGTGTCAGATCCGTACAGGTAATGCATGGTCATTTGGTTATAAAGAAAAAGTGTGTTCTTTTGAGATATTTGTTGAAAGTAGTTGTTTTTCAGCAAAGTCTTCATTAAATGTGTTGAGGAAAATGCAATGTATCAAACCAGAAGTTCTCACTATCACTTTTATACTAAAAATATATTTTGTCTATCCATGACCTAACAGGAGCAACTCCAAAGCCGCCTCCAGACCCTGTCATCCCTGGTAAGTGGGTATATGGAAATATGATTATTAGTACAATTTAAATTAAAATCCATGTTTTGCTTCATGCTGCTTTTTAATATAGATACAATCAGTCAATTGTCCTTTGCTCTCTTAAAATAAACAGCACACAAAAGGCAATTTATATTCTATAATGGTTAGTTTCACTAAAACGCTGTGTAAATTAGCTTTTTTTCAATTGACAGTGGTACAATATAACCGTTGTAGTACTTGATACAAATATTAACTCATACATTTGGCAGGTTTTTTTGCATGAATGATGAGATACACCTTTAACTCAGATTGCATAAATTATATTAAAATTGTTTAGCTCAATTTTTTCTTTTATGGCGTCCCAATTTTTATTTGACATCTAGTTGCAATGTGCGATCATTGGTTTATAGGAACTAGTGCCTTAATCACCAAAATATCAACACATGAAAATTAGTTTATTTGCTCTTGTAAAAGTAATCAGAATTATTATCTATTCTAAAGAAATGTTGTTGAAGTTACCATGTGGCAGGTGCTGCATTACCTTTAAATCTAAACTGCCATCAGACTTCATACACAAAAGCAACCAATTAAAAATATTATAGTTATATTAGAGATACATTTTTATCTTTCTGACATGTTTTCAGACTACAACAAGACCTCAGATGGGTGGCTAGAATGGAATGGAACTCAATATTATATTAACAAGAAGAAGATGGCCATGGAAAAAGCTCGTCGCTTCTGCCAACAGAGGCATGGGGACTTAGTAACAATCGACAGCGAAGCTGAAAGGGTCTTTTTGTGGAATCAGGTAAGCAGTGACATCTCGACTACATTAAACTAAGAGATTATCAATTTAAGTACAACAACTACGGCATTTACATTTAACTGAAATGTAGGTTCTACTGGTAATTAACCTGTGCCTCTGTCTGTGTGTAGATATCCAAAAGTCAAGGTTCTTACTGGATAGGTCTGGATGTTGACCTTGATGGAACATATGAGTGAGTATGGATGAAACACAAATAATAAAGAAAAATGTAATATGACTCTTGGGAGTTCCAAGAATAATTACTTGTTTACAAGGGTGTCATTAATACAAACACAAAGGATATATAATCTAAGTCGATAGCATTTCTGTAACTTATTGTTGAATTTGGCTTTCATTTTAGACCTAGCAGAGATACTGACTAAGTTGCTCATTATTTATTAAACCATTTAAAATCATAATCTTATCTTGGTGCATGTATGTAAACTGTTTTTTGCTAATTAGTAAAAAAAATGTTTTAATCAAAATAAATATTCAAATACAATTACTATGATTTATTTCCTAATCATTTGATGTGTGTTTAAATGTGAATAACCATAATAGATTGCATTAACAAATTAAAACCTTTACACATTGTAAACATTTACATTGACCACCCTGGAACATCACTGAAAATGTATTTGTTTTTGACAACATTCGGTTTGTTTATGTTACTTAAAGGTGGATGGATAGTTCTCCAGTTTTGTATCAAAGTTGGAATGAAGGTCAGCCTGATTTCAAGTATCATGATGAGAACTGCGCCATCATGGGCTATTCAACCGGTGAGTGAACTGATAAGATTCACCTTAACTGACATTATGCAAATAGGAAATTCAAGCATTGAAATTGTAATCCTTAAGATTTCAGTCTTGGATTATTCAGCAACACGTCATAACAACAAGTGCAGTTTAATAGAGCAAGAATTTGTTGAGAAGCTACTTTGTCAACAGGTGGGCTACAATCTATTGGCAGACACATGTCCATCTAGAGGGGAAGTTTTGGCACCTGATTCACGTTTTTTTGCAAGCCACTCGGGACTAGAATAATTCCTTGTTCTTAAGTAGGTATTTAGAATCTAGCGTAGGAATGGCAAACTGTACCATTACTGATAAAAAACTGTTCTACATAGCAGAAGGGAAATTACTCAAATTGATCGCACTAAAGAGCCTGACCATTAATAGCACTTCGGTTTCATTTTTGAACATTTCTAAATGATTGACTTTTATTTTATTTTGAAAAAGCACATTGTATTTTGCTCACATTTTCAAGTCTCTGATTGGTTCACAGGGTTCTGGCATAATTACAATTGCGGGTTTGAGTACGACTCCATTTGTAAACGCAGTGGCTCACCACCTGCCAACACAACGGTGGCCCCCACAGTTGCCCCTAAAGGTGGCTGCCCACCCCACTGGAAACAACTTAACCATAAGGTCAGAGATAACTTTAAGCATTTAAACGTGTTGAATGCTCTGGAATACACCTCAAGTAGAACATAATTTACCTCTCAGTGCTTGCATTGATAATAGCCTTTGATGGACAGCATTGTTTTTTAAAAATATATAAAAGGTTATACATTTTTATCTGGTGCTCTTTCGAGATTGAGCTGTTTTCTCATGTACAATTGGAATCAATGTGCAACATATGACACTGTTTGAGTGCCAGTATTAAGTGTATTTTAATTGGGGAAAATTATCTTATTATTCCTTACCTCTAGTGTTACAGCATCATTAAAGACCAAAAAGAAACATGGAACGGGGCAAGGAAACAATGCAAAGATATGGGTGGAAACTTGGCCTCTATATCCTCAAGACACGTGGAAGGTTTGTTTTCACTTTTTTTTCCCCCTGGTAATATAGCCGCCAGTCTTTTAAATTATGTTTGTGTTATTTTGTGTTAATGGTCAGGATAATTTATTGCATGAGATGGCAGGTGACAAAGATACAACATACATACATGTATGCCAAGATTACATTGGACATTTTTGATGGTTGTGATTACAAAACTTTGTATAGAGTGCCACAGTGACGCGTCCTAAAACCCGGAAGTAAGTTAGCATGTTACCACTTCCGGTTCCCTCGACAAAAAAGCAATGCAATTTCTCCATAGGATTTTGGAAAATAGCTCGAAATAAGGTCTGTGGTTGACACACATTGAAGAGACGGATCACGTTTTGTTCTACGACATTAAATACATCAGCAGTGACCCCACTGGTGTTTTTTGAAGAGTTTACGTGTCTGAAAAATGATGGTTGTTACCGAGTGGCTGAATAGGACTACAGAAGTTGTCGAGGCCATTGTACGTCATTACATCGAACACGTAAACACTCTCGCTAAGTTTGTGTGCCCTGTTCAGCTTGAAAGCAAGCACTTGCCTCCTGCAAACTGTTAAAACAAACGCTTCAACTTGTACAACTTTGAATCTGTATTTTTGAATATGGACCTTAAGTTGGCGTGTCGTTGAAGCAGCGACCCTGCTGTAGTTCGTTTATAGCATAACGTTAGCATTTGGCTTCTATAAAAGTAGGGTAGACATGTGGATATTATCCGGCTGAACAAAACGTGAACCGTCTCTTCAATGTGTATCAACCACAGACCTTATTTCGAGCTATTTTCCAAAATCCTATGGAGAAATTGCATTGCTTTTTTGTCGAGGGAACCGGAAGGAGTTTACTTCCGGGTTTTAGGACGCGTCACTGTGGCACTATAGATGAACATTTTAAGAAGTTGAAGTGTCTCATGTCTTTACGATGTACAACAAATCTAAAGCTAGCAGCCTCTTGAGGTGCTGTTCACCAAAATAGAGTGGTTTTAACCAGCTCTATACTATTGATAGTGATGTGTGAGGGGCACTGAATTATGTTTTCCTCTTTGTAATATACCTACATGTCAAAAACAGAACAGTGCACATCCTGAAGTACAGCAATTTGAGGTTCATCTACAGGAGTTAATCTTTCATGAAAATATCTGATCTTAAAGTCATTCTGTTACATTTTCAGTGTTTTTGATAACTCAAATGGCTGACACACCTACTACAGACCTTTGGATTGGTTTACGCAGATCATATTCTCAAGCATTTTATTGGACTGATGGGCAACCAAGGCAATATGTGAACTTGGATTTGGAAGTAAGTGGACAAAAACAAAAAGTAGTGTTATAATGCGAGTGTGCCCTTGTGATCAATTGTGTGTGTTTTTATAAAGATTTGACATCTTATTTCTCTCTTGTTTGATTTTCCATTTTAGAGTTTCCGGGAAATAATTTTTCGACATCATCGGGTAACGTGTTCAAATTTAATTGAGGCCTAACTGTTTACAATTATTAATTATTGAAACACAATCTTTAGTAGTCCTGAGACAAATACATTTATTACAAAAATAATTAATATCTGGGTTAACATTGCAGATTCACTGGGATCATCAAAGATTAATGGAAATACTTCGTATATCACGAATGGTAAGACGTTTTTAAAGAGTCCGAAGTTTTTAACCAATACATCCATGTAGACACTGTCGGCAAAGCTCATAGAGCAGGAGAACGTAGCCTATTTGGGCAAAATAACAATAATTGATGCTCTACTTTATAAGCGCAATGGTTACGACAAAGCACACAACTGATTGTGTTATTTGGCAAATTTCCTGGAGACCGTCGTAGTTGGGACTTGGGCCCCCTAGTAAAATATGTCCTGCATTACTTTTCATATTTAATTTGAAATTATTGCTAGTGGTAGAAGACGTACTCAAAAAACTTTTCTGAAGTATATCTATTATTTTTCACAGTAAAAACACAATTTTTATTAAAGAGTGAAAGAAAAGCATTACCATCACAATGTATGCTACTTATTTTTACATACAGTTTTTGCCTTTAATATATTGATGAATAGTTTTAATGGATAATAATACTTAGTACTTAGCATTTTATATTTAGCTGAGTGTGAAGTTGCTTGGATGAGCCCATGTGAGAAAGCAGATAGCAGCAATACCATAGCCCAAGCATTTAGCCTCTTCTGAACAGGCATGAAAGGGTGGAATATTTTCCCTTAAAGTTAAGAATAAAGACCCAATGGCTTTCTAAAGCAGAGCAGCCTCCACACTTAGACGACTGTACTAAGTTGCTCAAATAACTCTGTATTTAATATATATGTTGAAAGATTGACCTGTGGCTACAGTACGTGAAAGAAACTTAGTGCATGCTTTATTTGCTGCATTTTTCTAAATTAAAATAATTGTAATGCCTCTTTAAATTGTATCCTGACCGTTTTCTCTTCTCCTAACTAATCGCAATTTGTGCTTAACCAGGAACAATGTGCTGTGATCACAACCAATTCTTCCTTTGGTATTGGGAAATGGATTGGAAAGTCTTGCAATGACACCAATGGATTTGTATGTCTTAAAAGTGTTGGTGAGTTCATTTTCTAGCTTTACTTTAGTACTCAAATATTGGAATATTTTGTTAAGAGTTTTTCTTGTATCTTTCTTAAAGCAGCCATAGCTAAAATGTTTTATGATTAATATGAATTAAATCACGGAAAAAAGAGACAAGGTTGCAATAAACCTACCGATAACTATTTGTTGAAACTCCAGCTTCCCTGGATAAACTATTAACTATTGGTTAACAAGTATGCCATATCAACTTAAATCGGATGCTGTCTTCAAAACATATATCTGCTGTCCACAAATAAAAAAAATCTGTTATTGCAAGTTTAGGGAGGAAAGCATCTTTACAACTATGATCTTAATGAAAAACTCAATTTCATTCCATCTTATTTCTCACCCTCAACAGATCCTTCTTTCCCAGACTCCCCTGAACCAACGACTTCCAGTGACTATGTCAAAATATTAAATGACTCTGTAAAGGTTGTGACTCAAAATATGAGCTGGGATGCAGCCAAAAAGCATTGTGAAGATGATGGTGCCAGACTGGTTAACCTGCGAAACAATTGGTCACAGGCGTATGTTGAGATGCTGGCTTTGAATCTTAAAGCTCCTCTGTGGATTGGGCTGAACAAAAATCAGGTAAAGTGCTGAAAGCCTTTAAAAAAAGCACAAGGCAAAGGGATTGTGCTTATTTCCACAAACCTCTGTAAAAATGATAACCAAAAGACAGGTGTGGCTCATGGCTGCTTGATTGCCAGGCATTGGGTTATAACCAAAAGTTAAAGGATCACCAAAGCTATTGCAATTTTTTCTGAGGTCAACATGAAAAATGTAAGAAAAACATTACACAGTTTACTCAAAATCACAAATGTCAACCTCATAGTGGCTACAAAATGTAAGTCAGGGGATCACTAAATACATCAGGAATCACCCTTTAGGGACCATACATGGCTGTACAAAAGTGTAAGGCAATTATTTGCTTTCAGACCAATGGGTATTTCAGATATATTGATGGCTGGTTCCTGAAATTCTCTCACTGGGGCAACAATGAACCGAGCAGGGACAGACCTTGTGTCTACGTGGATGTGGATGGAAAATGGAAGACCGCTGACTGCAAGCAGATCATGAACAGTGTTTGCATGAAGTCTACAGGTACAACAACTAATGTTTATTCGAATTAATGAATGTACAACTTATCCTAAATGCCAACTTGTTTCAACATTAAATGATCAACCTGTAAATGTCAGAATACCTCCCGTGCTTAACCGTTTGGCGTATAATTTAAATATTTAAACATTTTGACACAAATCGCTGTTTATAAAAACACTCGAATTATAAAATAAATGGATTGTACGCGTTTACCGTGTGTTTGAGTTATGTGACATAAATACTGATACTGATAAATAAATGATTTGAGAGTGTGAAAATATTTAATTAGTAGACTCCGGTGTCATTATTGTCTCTCTCAATTACAGATGTGCCACCAACAGAGCCAAGTGTTTTCACTGGCATTTGCCCTGAAGACTCGGATGCATTAAACACAGGCGGGAAGAACAACTGGTTACCATTTCACGGATACTGTTACAAATTGTTCTCAGAAAGAAAAGAGTGGGGAGATGCATCTGCCAGCTGTTTAAGACATGGTAAGTCATTTTTGTGGATAGTCTAAGATATTTATAAGACTAAAATGGATATAGCTCTCAGTAACGACTCTTTTATTTTGTAAAGGTGGATCACTAGCCAGTATTGAACATCCCTTTGAGCAAGACTTCATTCAAAGCAACACACACATATTTAAAGACAGCCACAGCTCGTTCTGGATTGGCCTGTTTAAAACTCACAAAGGTAAATGTATACATCCATCAAACAGTTTTAAAATGATACATTTTAAAATTCTTCTTTCTCATAAGCTGTTGTTCACAACGTTTGGTTATTGTCTCATGTAAAGTATTGAGACAGAAAAAGCACCTGGTATAAACAAAGTATTATAAAAATCTGTCTCTAGGGGAGTGGTTGTGGTTAGACAAAACAATCATGGACTACGCTTATTGGGATGAAGATCAACCTGATGATGGCAGCCACGGAGGGATTAGTACTTCAGACGGGACATGGAAGACAAGCAATCAGGGGTTTAGAAGACCATACATCTGCAAAACACCCCAAGGTAAAATATGTTTTCCTATTTGGACTCTTTGGTGTGCATTGTATAGATTTTTTTTATAATGCCATCAGACTCAAATAATGAAATAATAGTGACTGACCGACCACAGCTTTCTGTTTGTTTAAGACTTGCCTTTCGCTTATTAGCTACTGGAAATGTGCCAGACACTGACTTGTTCCAACAACAAATGTTAACATATGTAATCATGTAATTGCTTGCCCCATCTTGTGCACTCCCAACTTGTAGAAATAGTGTGATTTTGTAGGTGAGCAGAATATGTGAGTATGCATTGTCCTTATAGTTGTGCACTAAAAAGTGTTTGGTCTTCCCATGGTATACTGTCACAAAGTAATAACATTTGACAAACTAGGTGGTTGTCTTCTATAATAACCCATTACACAAGAAAACATGCATTTGTTATGGACAACTTTGAATCTGGTTTTCAGTCCGTCAGTTTTGGTCACTGCTAGGTTGATATTGTGTCAGATTTTGGTGTTCAATAGTCAAATCTCCTCTTTTTCTCTCTAGTACTGGCACCAACCACACGAACAACACTACCAAATCGTAAGTAACACACCTTTCACTTTACAATTGCAATTGTACTCAAAAGTGTGATTCAATTATTTTGGCTCATCATCGTCTTCTATTTCAACCTTCGCAAACAGGTGATCCCCTTCAGCATGGCCACATAGCTTTGGCAGTTGTGGTGAGCATTATTGGGATTGCCACAGGGGCAGTGATTGCCTTCCTCCTCTATAAGAAGTTTGTTCATCGCCTATCCATCCCTGTCAACTTAAACACCTTTAACAACCCGCTGTTCTTCAGCAAGGAGAAGTCACAAACTGGTGTGGTTGAAACCGAAAAACTGGTAGAGCATGCAGAGGAAGACAGCCCTGAACCTGTTGTATCAGTGTAATTAAAAAAACACTAAAAAGTAGGATCAAATGGTAAACATACCTGACATTTCAGAGATTTCACAGTGTGTTTGAAATGGGAGAAATTTCAATAGATTTAGCAATGACTAGCTCAAATGTCCAAAGCCACGAGGACTGTACATGGATTGTAATAATTGAATTCATATATTTTGTAATGACTATGAAGAAACATATTCATTGGAGGTACTGGGAAGACTTAAAATTGTTAGGATAATAGTGTATTTAAATATTTGCCACGGACAGACTCCTGTGCAATCACGTGCCTATTCAATGCAGTTATTACCAATTCACTTTAGGAAACTAAAACAGGATTAAACTGTTTGATTGCTGCTTTATTCTAAACACTGAAATTAAGAACAATCTATTATTTATTAAAAAAATAATACAAATAGAACAGCAGTTGGAAGACTGATGATCAACATGTTACTTAAATAAGAATAGCTGGTCCATCTTCTAAAAATGTCTGACAACTTTAAGTGAGCCGTAGCAAAGATGTGGCTAACTTTGGGTTAACCCCCTTGGTGAAATCAGCAGGTGGTTAAGCAAGGCAAGGTTAACTTGCCATTGGTCTAGTGGTGATGTAACATCCCCCTCCCTCTGGAACTCTCTCCCCAAACACATTTGTCACTGCACCAATCAGACCATGTTCAAGAATTGCTTTAAATGTGTTATAAATATTGTGTGTTATAACGTTTTTTTTTGTTATATCTGTAAATGCCTTTGAGTACCATGGAAAGAGATATATAAATAAATTGTTTTATTATTATTAATAATGAAAGACTTGCATGTAAGATGTGGCCCTTTGCTTTGTTTATTGAGCAATTTATACTAGAACATCTCACTTTTGACTTCTTACTCAACACTACTGTTCTCACAGCTCACTTCTCAAATTCACAGATGCCACTTCCTTTTTAACCAAAACATTATTGTCAAAAATGAACACACACTTAAGTATTTAAATAAAGTTTTCCTTGACTAAATAAGTTATATTTCAGTGGTTATATAAACAAGCCTACTGTCTGTGCTGCTCCTGCAAGTCCATATTTAAAGGTCTCCTATTATGCTATTTTTAGGTATATATTATGGGTCTCAGATATATACACACATGGCACATTGTTTCTGATACAGCAACGTTTCTGATAGGGCCGTGGGTGTAAAGCCAGCCACATTTCCGATATTACGTCATGACCGCAGCAAATCTGGATCAGCTCCGTTGTACCCCCGTTTTTAGAGATTTGGGTACGGGGGAAAAGAAAGGGTTTTGTTTTCTGACACTTTGTGGGTTCCCTTACACACCGGGGACGCGTATTTATGTATAAAAGACATAAAAAAGTGCATTTTGCATGATAGGAGACCTTTAAGGTTGAGGGGCCAAAGAGGACGGACTTGCAACGTCGACTCTCTTATGGCTAATCTATAGCCGCATATACAGTACCAGTCAAAAGTTTGGACACACCTTTTCATTCAATGTTTTTTGTTTATTTAAATCGTTTTCTACTTTGTAGATTAATATTGAAGACATCAAAACTATGAAAAGAAAACATATGGAATTATCTAATTAACAAAAAAGTGTTAAAAAATCCAGAATATGATTTTTATTTTATATTCTTCAAAGTTGCTCCCTTTTACCTTGATGACAGCATTGCAGACTCTTAGCTTCTCTCAGTCAGCTTCATGAGGTTGTCAACTGGAATGGTTTTCAATTAGCACGTGTGCCTTGTCAAGATTCAATTTGTGGAATTACTTGCCTTCTTATTGTGTTTGAGACCATCAGTTGTGTTGTGCAGAGGTAGGGTTAGTGCACAGTGGAAAGCCCTATTTGACTACTGTTGTAATCCAAATTATGGCAAGAACGACTCAACTCACTAAAGAGAAACGACCGTCCATCATCACTTTAAGAAATGAAGGCCAGTCGACCCGGAAAATGTCAAGAACTTTTAATGTATCCAAAAACCATAGAACGCTTTGATGAAACTGGCTCTCCCCCCCACCGGGAAAGGAAGAGCAAGAGTTATCTCTGCTGCAGAGGATAAATGGGAGAGCCAGTTTCATCAAAGCGTTCTATGGTTTTTGGATACATTAAAANGGACTAAAACCAAATATAAAGAAGTGTGTTCTTCTTGTCCAGTGTATGAATACAATGCTGCATTGATTTTGAGTCATTGGGTCAGTCGTTTTTTATAAAAATAACCTTAAATTATAGAAGCACTACAATCCAATTAAAAGAGATGTGTGTTTTTAAATCATATCTGGTAATTATTTGGAGACACTAGGTCACATGAGTTATGAAGAATATAAATACAACATTCAGTAAGACTGTTATTAAAAACACTGCATTAGAAGAGCTTGCTTCTCTCTCTGACTTTCTCTTTAACCCAAACCCCTGAAGCAAAACCTCCAGAGTTAAGGTGTGTGGCATCAGTTACCGTGGCAATGCTGTCAGGTAAACGAGGGAAAAGGAGCACACCCCACAGGAAATGAAAACTACCAAAACGTCACAAAAACAACTAAATCCTCTCAAGGGAATATCCAAACCTGGGTGTAGTAAACATCTGATCATGATTAGACAAAGAATAGAGATTATAACCAATTGAGAGGCCAAGTCCCTCCCTTTCCGGGGGACCTCCATGGGACCTTATTTCAGATAAATTAAGTATTGAAGTCAATGGAGAGAGAGATTATCTTTCGATCCCGTTTGAATTGTGCCACGAATTACACATATGATGCTTGTCAATTTAAAAGATAATTTTGCAAGTCAAAAAAATTAAAAGGTGTCTTAAAACTGTGAAGTAACATTTTTTTTTGTGTGAAACCGCTCAATGAACTACATCTCCCATCTCGCACCACACCAAGACGGCCGCCACGTTAGCACATTTCACTTCTTTCTTTCAGAATGAGCTGAAAAGTATTACAAGAGGTGAAAATCACTACAAGTCTGGGCATGTTGAGAGCTGTACATACATAAAAGGGGAGTTAGTCGGTTCCGTAAGAGCCAGCATGCGGGACCGGGATTCTGGGATTTGTAGTCTTTCTAGTATTTTTCATAGTCTTATGTTTCAACAGTTTTACGACAAACTGACTTTTTTTGACATGGAAATGATTTTTTAAGATTGACAAACATCATATTTGTAATTCGTGGCACAATTCAAACGGAATCGAAAGATAATCTTTCTCTCCCCATTGAATTCAATACATAACTTTCCCGAAATAATGTCCCATGGGTCGGAAGTAGATGGGCGGGTCTTTGCCTCTCTATTGGTCTACATTTTTCATCTGTCTTGTAACTTTTCCGGTATTTAAAAATAAAGACTGCTTCCGGAGGCGGGAACTGTGGCTATATAGGTTTTATACTCAAATTGAAGCAAAATATGTATTGGTATTAAATATTGTGTTTCCCCTTTCCCCCCACAATAGATGTTTGCCAATACTCTGGAGCCACACAGGTCAGAGAGCAGCCCTGTGAGCTGAGATCCAGGCTGGAACAGGAAATACTAGAACCGTTGCCCAAAAAACTTAAAGAAGAGCCAATTGAATACGACATAAGTCAGGTATCAGAACAACAACAAGGACTGGGGGAAGTGGATAACTGTATAAGCACAGATTGTGTAAAATATGAAACAGAAGAAGAAGACGTAAGCATGCCCTGTATCACTGATCCATTCCACATAAAGGTGATTGAGTTCAGACCGGACTCATCAGGCACTCTCGAGCCTAGACAGGAGGAGAACTGCTCCCCGTCGGTCTCAGATGCGATCACAGATAACCCGCAGCTACACAAAAGTGAACAAAGCACAAGTCAAAGTCGGGAACTTCAAAAACCTGAAAAATTGTCAACAAAAAATGTAACGGTAAGCTGTTTTGATGCCTTAGATGTTATTGTTTACGATTGTCCTAATGTTTTTTCAATGTGATTGAGCATGGGTTACTTTTTGGAAGATTCTTTCTGTGTAGATTTTAAAATGTGTTTCAAAACTGCTACCGTCTTTTAACTCTAAACAAATCTACGTTAGGTTACAAAAAAATAACCTGAATCCGAACCTTAGATTTGGCTCAATCAAGCCCAGCTTATTAACTCAGTAAACTTTTATTTTCCATCTCTTTCCTAGTAATATTGACTGCCGAAACCATCCACAGTCTTACTGAAACAAATAAGACTGCCACGACATGATGGATATATATCGTAGTTTCTTTATTACATTACATTTAGCTGACGCTTTTATCCAAAGCGACTTACAATAAGTGCATTCAACCAAGAAGATACAAACTTGAAGAAAACAGAATCATATAAGTACATCAGTTTCATAGAGCCAAAACATTTCAAG